CAGCAATTAATGGGAGCGGTACTAAGTACAAGTAGCCAAGATCCCAAACGCTTCAAAGTGGAAGGTATTTAGCAATTCTGATCAGTTCTTTAAATTGAAATAGAGACTTTATAATCACGTTATGCATACACTACAGTATTAGAAAACTGCATTAAAAATGTGGTTTATCATGCTCTTTTTAGTGCAGAGTACACTATTTGGGAGCTGCCATCCACTAAGGTGCTATGGAAGTAAGATGCTAAGGCAATAAGGCGTAAACTTTAATGTTTGTTTAATTAATTAATTAATTTCAATTAATAATTAATTAGTCTAGAGGCAAGGAAGTGGTGGGGGTGGGGGTGGGAAAGGTACCTGTGTACTCTACGTAAAACAAGTTCCACCTAGTTGAGTGTGAACATCGCAAAGCTACGTATTTGTTTCAGGTAACCCCTTGCTCTCCTTGGGGTACTTTGTTTCCACTCGGTTAGTAGTGGAACGATTTCACTCCATCACTCCTTCACTTCCCATTAGACATTTGGAACCCGTGGGGGAACTCCCATATGAAAAGGCAAGGGATGCTCGTCGGAAAATGTGAATTTAACTCCTAAGGGAGACTAATGTGGACGTTGCTTGAGATTCATTAGACCCCTAAAAGATACCACTTAAAACAGAATAGGTTCGATCACTAGCCACTGTTCAAGAAAGGATCCCGCGTGTACTTGTAGATCCAACTCGCGTACTCGAGAGATCAGCGGAAATCAATCCTGAAAACAGAAATTAAATGAGAGCGTTTCTTTTATTATTATTTCCTGGAGTGCACCCTAAAAGATACTGTGACAGCTAAAAATGGTGACATTTCGTCATCAACATACTAAGTGAGACCAGAATCGTTGATTTGTACTGGAGACGACGAGCATCCCCGACCTTTTCATGTAGGAGTCTTCCCGGGTTTCAAACATGAGCCGTCTAGGGCCGTTTTACAGTCGCTTGCAGCGTGTCAAGTTAGTTATTTTCGAGAGGTACAAGGTATAGCGATTTTTTCATTGCAAAGAAAATACTTATGGTTCCTCCTTAGTGATTCGATTCAGGGAAAGTCTTGGTGGTTTTTCCTGCACAAACCTACGTGATATTGTGATTTCGAAAGCAATCGATATAAACGAATGATTGAAGTCTCCAGACGATTTTTTTTAAGACAAGAAACGGAAAGGCAAACGCTACCTTTCAGTAAATGATTTGTTGAGGGAAAGAGAAAAAATAATGAAGAAGAAAGGAAAAATAATCAGTAGTCACCACCAGGATTTCAACTCCCAATGTCTCACATGGCGAGCCAGCGCTCATCACATTGAGCTACTTGTGCACAAGCTACCGGAAGTTGAAAGTGTTAATTATTTATTTATGTGCCGCAGGCTCAAGTGTTTGGCTCAGTCTATACCTCACTTTTGACCAAACAAAATGATCTTGCCGTTTTTGACTACAGCACAAGGAAGACATGTACAGATACATGTAACGTAAAACGTGTAGGCAGGCCTTAATAACAAACAGTTTTTTGACCTTTAACTTTTTCGTTTTTGCCAATATTACAACAAACCCCATACATACATACATACATACATACATACATACATACATGCATGCATGCATGCATGCATGCATGCATGCATACATACATGCATACATGCATACATGCATACATGCATACATGCATATATGNATACATACATACATAATTTATTTGATAAAGCAGGTTGGAGATCAAAATTGGCAAGACGCTAAGTCCTGATCTGGACCTGCACTATCTAAAATTATAAATTAATAAAATCCTACGTGATACATAATGCTACATAATTAAGACAATGGCTGAATAAATAGTGATAGCTAAAAATAGATAAGCAGTAACAATATACAATAAAATTTTAAAAGTAATTGAAGTCTAAGGATTTGTTTGAAATACAGCAGGACGCTTACCCCTGAATGGAAAAGGTCCTTATGGGCTTGTTCGAAAGCTAGACTGCCCTCACTTCACAATTAGTTCCTTAATGAGGTTTCATAATTTATTTTCCAAGTTCAGCGGCTTACAGCCACTTTGATTCTATATGTCATGTAATGTGACCGAGGACAGCAATTATTTTTCATGTAGTGCCACTTCTCCCTTTTAGTGCAAAACTGAAACGTTACTGTGGCTGCGTATTGTTAAAGTGCACCTAACTCCAAAATTTTTTTCCGCTAAAACGAATCTGCATGTTATTTGAAATACTTCTGCGAAAAAAGTTTTGGATTCGGTTAAATCTTCGATTTTCTGTGCCCCGA